TTTCCTGCTTGGGTAATTCTTTGGTCCGGAAGCCTTCTTCCTCTTCTTATTTTGTGGCGCCTCCTCAACAACGTCTGCCCCCATTATTGTTGAGTTTCCACGTGACTTATTTTCAGCATTTTTGTTGTCTTCTTCTATCCTCAGACGAACAATCAAGTCTTCTAGTGTCATCTCTTTCCGCTTGTGTTTAAGATAGTTCTTAAAATCCTTCCACAACGGAGGTAACTTTTCAATGAAAGCAGCGACTTGAAAGGCCTCATTTATGACCATACCTTCAATAATAAATTTATAATTAATAATAAGATAAATCTTATTAATAAAATTATTGATTCGGGTCATAGCTTCTCTAGTGCATTCCATAATGCTTCTCTAGTGCATTCCATAATGCTTTTGAAGTTTCCATGACACTATAGACATTGTACAAGCCATCTTCCAAACAACTCAATATGTAGTTTTTGCACAAGAAATCAGAATGTTTCCATGCTTCAGTTACAACAAGTCGTTCATCATCCGGAGTATTTTCAGCCATGACCGGAGGATCCTCCTTGATGAAACGTTGCAAACTCAACGTAGTAAGATAGAAGAGCATCTTCATTTGCCAGCGTTTGAAGTCAATACCGGAAAACTTTCCGGGTTTTTCTGCCGGTGCCATAGCATGAGCAGGAGTAGAACGGCTTAACGAGGCAGCAACACTCGTAACAGCAGCAACCGTTCCCGCAACACTTCCATTAGTTTGGTTTTCATTCGTCATATTTCTGTAAAGTTGAAAACAATACAGAACTTGTTAATCAGTGAAGTTTTTGATATCTTCAAACTGAATACCAAACCAACCATACAACACGTAACAATGGTGAAGTTTTTATATACTTCAAACCCGTACGTTTATTATTCCGGCAAAGTTTTTATGTACTTTAAACCGGACAGAAACAATTATAGGAGTAGAAAGCAACAAGGCTTTAGTCTCCAACAAAGTATATAGAAAACAGTTTAATAATCAACACAGAAACGTTAGTAAAATAAAATTCCTTATGATTGTGAGCGTAACTGTGTTAAAACAAAAATCAGAAAACTGTTAGAAGAATAAAGAAATGTATAAAATAGTAAAGAATCAGAAATATTCCGAGTCCACAATTTTTCTTGTGCGTCCTTAAGGAATTTTAACCCCCTCACACGTTGCCAAGGTAATGGATTAAATCCTCCCAGGATAAAACGGAATAAACCTTCCTGCAACAGTGGCAATACAAACTGCAGGATACCAACGAACTCAAAGAACAGAGCAAAATCACACTTACGAATTTGAGAGAGAGAGACTGCGAATTAGGATGCAGTATATTCAGAAAGAAAGAAGTTGTAGAGTCTTTTTTCGTATCTGGAAGATGCAGCCTTGCCTCATAATTTATAGGCAAATATCAGAAGAGGTGTCTGGAAAGGTGCCTTTTACCGCGGTCAGAGAGCCTTTTATAGGCCAGAGAGCTTCTCTGAATCTGACTGCCGCGATTCTACCGCGGTCGCGGCAGAACCGCGGCCAGTGAGGCCCTCTGAACGTTCAGTAGTGATTTGGCATTTAATTAATTATTAAATAATTAAATAAATTTTGTCCAAAAATAATCTTATCGATCGATTTAACAAATCCAAAGCCAAAGCCAAAGCCGAGCCGAGCGAGCGACGGCGACGGCGCGAGGGTTCATTCTCTTCAACTCCTTTTAAGAGCTTTAAGAAGTGAATCTATATATAAGCACATAAATGTGATTGTCCCTCACCAATGAGGGACAAAGTGCAAGACAAAAGTTCACTTCTTCAAATTTTCATTTTCCCTCCATTTTATTTCCTTCCATTTCCAATTCACACTTCTTCTCTTTTAAAGCCCAATGGCTTAAAGTCCAACAAAGTTTACCCACTAGGAGTACATACAAGTACTAGAAGAAAATTATACTATTCACTCAGTCCCAATTTATATCATATTTTTGTTGTCGGAGAATTTATTTAATTAATTTTTGAAGTTAAATTGAATTAGATCAATTGAATATTCAAGAATTATATGAAAAGTATTATTAATTATAATTCTTTTCACGTTAATATGAAAAAATATATTTTAAAATATTGATCAAATATTTTATAATTTGAATTTGAAAAGTAAAAATGACACATGAATTGAACAAAGGAAGTATGTAGTTACACAAAACGCCCGTACAGTTCTGGTACTCTCGACTCTTGTCATACTCAGTGGAGAAGTTTTATTTTGTGTCTTATACAATTGATATTAGTGGGATATTTGCATCTATACCCGCTTTTTGTGTCACATTTTAAATTGTGTCTGCTTTTGCAAAAAAAATTACAAGCGTACCCGCTTTTTCACATAACTTCAGCACACGGGGCTGAAGTAGCAAAGGCAATCACGCAAAACTTCAGTATTCTAGTAGCCGGACCTGAAGTTCAGCTCTAGAGCTGAAGTTTTTGTTTTGTAACTGCGAACTTCAGCTCTAGAGCTGAAGTTTTTGTGTTGTAACTGGAAACTTTTTGTGTTGTAACTGGAAAACTTCAGCTCTAAGCTAGCTTGATATTTCTAAGCTAGCTTCAAATTGATATTTCGTTAGATAGCCGCTATAACTTTGGTGATTCTCGTTGAGATTTTTAGTCATAAAGTATTTGTTCATGCTTATAAGTAATTTATCTGGTAGTAGTAGCCTGTTGCAGTTTGCTGGAAGCCATCCAACTCGTTGTTTCTCATTATCATATATCACCATTTTGTCCAGTAGAGAAATATCTGTAGATGAAAAAAATATCAGAAAGAGAAAGATTAATAAATGCACAAAGAACTTGGATACAACTCTTATCAAAATCTAGTTCCCCTTTAGTATTTATGCAGATAAAAAACTGCATTTTCTCTTCACTTTGTTGATACTACTATTCCATCGTTATTTATAAATGTTAAAACACAACCTTGTTTTCTTCTGGTGAGGTACTGAAGGGGAGGAGAAAGAGAACTGAAGTTGTTTAAAAAGTGGGTACAAGTTACAAGTTTTTTAAAAAATGTGTATTGTAACTTTTACGACACTAATTGTATGAGACTCATTTTTGTCTCACAAATATGTGGACCCCAATCTTACACTTCTGGGTCCACAAAATTGTGAGACAAAAAAATTATCGCATACAACTAGTATCAGTTATATGAGACACAAAATAAACTTTTCCTACTCAATGAGTTAAAGTAGTCTTACTTTTTAGATGGAATTATTCATGTCCGAATAGAATCATTTTAGTGGGTAAAGAAGGAGACATAAAAGCTGGAGTGAAGTCATTGGTTCCATAATCTAATTTTAACAAACTTTGCTAATCGCTAGATGTTTATAATTTACCTAAATAATTAATTTTAAAGGTAAAAGAAAATCCAAGTGAAAAATATATATCACTTAACTGTAGTTCAATATTCAATATAAAAAAGTTTATGTGCAAAACACTCTGTGTGAGTAACTTTTTACGCTCACACTATTTTGTATTCCTATTATGGATTACCATTTACTTCCATAATTCCCCAACCATTAGCAATGTCGTTAACAGTAATTATTTTGCTTAGCATTGAAATTTTGGTTGTTGGTCCTGATATTTTTTAAATTGGGTTTTCAATTTATTAAATAAAAAATTAATGTAAACAGGAGTTCAAGACAATATTATTCTATAATTCAATGGATGTCTAGTGCTGTAAAATAAGTGGGCGTTTGGACATAATGGTAAAATTCTGGGAAAAAGCGAAAAAAATTTCAAGTTGAAAATGATATTTGAAAATTAGAGTTGTGTTTAAATATGAATACAATTTTACGATATTTTTGAATTTTTGTAAGTGATCTGAAGTAGAAATTATGAAAAATAATTTTTCGGATTTTTTTCAAATTTTCGAAAAATATCAAAATTCATTTTTAAGTGAAAATTAAAATTTATGGCGACACACTGATTTCGAAAAAAAGTGATTTTTATGGCCAAATGGGCCCTAAGTGGGCGTTTGGACATAAGAATTGTAAAATTCCGGAAAAAAATGAAAAAGTGTCAAGTTGAAAAGGGTATTTGAAAATTAGAGTTGTGTTTGGACATGAATATAATTTAGAGTTGTTTTTAAATTTTTGTGAGTGTTTTAAATTGAAAATTTTTAAAAATAACTTTTTAGAGTTTTTCAAATTTCGAAAAATTTAAGAAATTTAATTTCAAGTGAATTTGAAAATTTCATGGCCAAACACTGATTCTGAAAAAAAGTGAAAAAATATTCAAAATAAATAAATCTTTTTTTATTGCCAAACGATTCCTAAGTATATTATAAGTAATACTTCGTCCGTTCCAGTTTATGTGAACTTATTTCCTTTTTGGTCCGTTCCAAAAAGAATGACCCCTTTCTAAATTTAGAAACAATTTAACTTAAATTCCTATTCTACACTTAATGAGAAGCTTTTATAATCACATAAATATTTTGGCCCCTTTTTGACTTGTTTAGAACTACAAATTTCAAAAGTCTTAGCTAGCGTTTGGCCATAGATTCCAAATTTATTTTGAAAAATCTGATTTGGGTGAAGTTTGGTTTGAAGATGAAAATGTGTTTCGACATACGTTTTCAAAACATATTTTCTAACTTTATTTTGGAAAAACATGTATAATTGCTAAGTTTTGGAATTTTGGCCCAAAATCAGCAATTGGGGTGATTTTGGGATTTGGGATTTTACCAAAATGTGAGTAAAATTTATGGCCAAACATGAGTTTTGAAAATAAATTCCAAATTTATTTTGGCAAAACTCATAGTCAAATGAAATCTTAATTTTTTTTAAAACTTCTTATCCAATCATACATGTTCACATAAATTGGATAAAGGAGTAAATTATTACTGGAAATCAGATTACAGTGAATCTGGTTTGATTTTGCTAACGTATATGCCTTCTGTGGCAAATTGGAAAAAGCATAGAGCGGGAAAGCAAAAGACAAATGAAAATATTTTTTTGGGTACGATAAGGGAACGCTTTTTAAGAAAGCAACACAATCATTTTACCTCACTCTTTTATCTCTCATTGAATTCCTTACCAAACTCTCTACTTCTCTCTTTTACCTTCCCTTCACTCTTCTTCTATGCAGAGGTACTTTTCTAATCTCTCCTTCTCTTTTGATGATTTTTTTGTTGTGAATTTATGTAACGATTTTTTTGAGTTTAGTGTTTATCGAAAATAAATTTTTTTCTTTTACAACGTAGGAGTAAGGTCTGCATACCCTTGCATATGTAATGGTTTTTTGGTTTGGGCGTTGAATAGGGCATGGACGGTACCTTCGATGAATTTTTGGTTGACGAATTCCTTGACTTCTCCAATAATGGTTCCGCTGAAGACGAAGAAGAAGAACACCCACCGGGGTATAACGGTAAAAAACCAGAGAAAGTTGAAGCTGAAAATATTACCAATTTATCTGGAAAACAAGAGTTTAGTGAACTCAATTTTCCGGTAAGAACTATTTTACGTTACGGTTTATTTTGTGAAAAGAAACGTTTTTTATTATCTACAAGAATTAATGAGAGCTGTTTTTATTTTTCAGGAAAATGACGAGGATAACCTCGAATGGCTAGCTCATTTTGTTGAAGACTCATTCACGCATACTGCCGGAAAATTACTGAACCAGTCGGTCCAAGACAATAAATCATGCTTCGCCACTCCGGTTCAAACCGGGGCAAGAACCAAACATACAGCCGCCGCCCGAGTTTGGTCACTTCCATTGACCGAGTCAGCTTCCACTTCCACTTCCTCTTCCTCCACTACAACGACATCGTTCTTGTCATCACCTTGTTTCATTCATACAGCTGAGTCGATAGTACGGAAGCCGGCGGCGGTGAATAAGAGGAGGAAGAAGACGGCGGGAGGTGTGGTTCAACCACGGCGGTGTAGCCATTGCGGTGTTCAGAAGACCCCACAGTGGCGGGCCGGTCCAATGGGTGCAAAAACTCTTTGCAATGCATGTGGGGTCCGGTTTAAATCCGGTCGGCTTTTGCCGGAGTACCGGCCGGCTTGCAGCCCGACGTTTTCGAGCGAGCTACATTCCAACAATCACCGGAAAGTTTTAGAGATGCGGCGGAAGATGGAAGTAGAAGGCGGCGGTTTGGCTCTATCCGGTTCAGAATTTTTGAAGAATTAACTTTAACATGGTAGGGTTTTTTTTTTATTGGAATTAAAAGTAGGTTTGTGGACTTTTTATTTTAGTGAAGTAGTAGAAATTTTAGAGGGAAAAAGGAAGAACCGGAGTCGGGGCCGGTTTATTGTACATTTCTGATGCGAGATGATAGATACTAGATTGTGTAGTAGGTATTCTACGGGTAACGGATGAGGAGAGTTGTTTATGTACTTTCCAGTCATACTCAGAAGAAAAACGAAAATGTATATTTACATTCGTAATTGTATACGGTTAAAGTCGGGCCTATCCGATTATGCTGATCAAGAGCACGGAATTGGATCGAACGTCAGTCTCGTAATGAATCAAACCAGAGCACGAAGACATGTAGCCAATTTGAAGATTCTCGATGCCTGTCGAGATCGAGGCCAGTAGCGATCGAGATCAAATATGACAAATTTCGAGCAAAGTGCAATAACGGGAAAACGAGATATCCGTGATTGACCGGAGATCATAGCGTAAATCTCGGAATAAATCAAATTAAGGGCGGTTATCTAGTTAATCATGTGATTTACTTTTGTAATTAGAATTGTATCATAACTAGGACACCTCTGCTATATAAAGAGGGCCTTAATCATCTTATAAACACCTTACATTCACGAATATCAAAGCAATATAATATTTCTCAACTTACTTTCTTGTTCATCGGCTTATTGTGCCTCTAACTATTTTTGCATAACTAGCTCGAGGGCTTTGTCCAAATACTGATTTGCTTTATATTGTTGCCATTTTGCATCATTTATCTTTACGTTTATCAATTGGTATTAAGTGAAATCACATATCCTTAAACCACATTATAAGTTTAATTGTTATCCAAATATAACAAATTTTAGGGTAAATAGTTTGGCGCCCACCGTGGAGCTAAGGATAATAGTGATTGCCTAGTATTAATCCTCATAACATACACTGCTTTTATGCTTGTTCTCGTAAGTGTTTTTGATTTTAAAAATCGATATGTCGAACTCTCAAGCAGTACCCACACACACAGATACTGGCCTTGGTCTCCATACACGTAGTCGCTCCGGGAAACAGAGTACCTCCAATCAATCCCGACGTACCATAGGTCGTAGATCCATTCGATGTCAGTTCTCGTGTTGCCATTCGTGGAGATTTAGGCGTCGAATATGAAAGTAGCATCCGCAGAGACGCCCGGGTAGTCGATCAGAACACACAAGATGGTGAAGAAGGTGGGATTAGCCTTCGAATGATATTTGACATGTTACAAACTCAGCAGGCTGCGATAGCGCAACTCCAAAATCTGAACGAGCACCAAACACAATCGAACTCGATACATCACAGGAAGTTGTTCATATGGTCGAGACTGTACAGGAGAAATTGAACGATAATGGATCGGAAGCTGACCCCGCCATCATGAAGATGCTCGAGGAGCTCACTAAACGGATTGAATCAGGAAAAAAGAAAATCGAGGCTAATGATAAAAATGTAGAAATGTACAACTCACGGGTCGATCAAATACCGGGGGAACCCCCGATTCTGAAGGGTTTGGATTCAAAGAAGTTTGTACAGAAACCTTTTCAACCAAGTGCAGCTCCGAAGCCCATTCTGAAGAAATTCCGTGTGCTGAAAATTCCCAAGTACAATGGAACCACTGATTCTAATGAGCATGTCACTTCTTATACATGCGCAATAAAAGGAAATGATTTAGAAGACAATGAAATTGAATATGTTCTATTGAAAAAATTTGGAGAAACTTTATCGAGTAGGGCAATGATATGGTACCACAATTTGCCGCCCAACTCCATCGATTCTTTCGCCATGGTTGCTGATTCGTTCATAAAGAAATAAAGGTCGCGGCTAGGAAGTCAGACCTCTTCAAAGTGAGACAAAAAGACAATGAAATGCTAAAGGAATTCGTATCTCGATTTCAGATGGAACGCATGGACCTACCCCCGGTTACCGATGATTGAGTTGTCCAAGCCTTTACTCAGGGTTTGAACGAGCAACGTTCGGAAACATCACATCAACTAAAGTAGAATTTGATTGAATATCCAGCGGTGACCTGGGCCGATGTGCATAATCGATGCCAGTCAAAGGTCAGAGTCGAGGATGATCAGTTGGGAGCCCCTTCCGGTTCTGCTTACCTGAATAGATCCGAAGGCAGGATTCAAAGAAACATCGACAAAGAGCCTCGATCGAACAGAGATCAGTACCAACCATATAGTACAGCTCGTAGAAGCAACGGACCGGGACGTAATTCTGTTCGAAATGTTCGAAGGAATGATTGAGGTCAAAATTCCCGAGGGCTCATGAGTAAGAGTGGCGTCGATAAACATGTCGAGCCTAAAGAAGCACCACGGTTATCGGAATACAACTTGAGCGTCGATGCTTCAGATATTGTGTAAGCCATTGGGACGAATCAAGTATACTAGATGTCCCAGACCCCTACAGACCGATCCAGCTCAAAGGAATCCAAATCAAATGTGCAAGTACCATGGAACCCATAGTCACAGAATCGAAGATTACATACAGTTAAGGGAGGAAGTAGCTCGTTTTCTCAACGAGGGTCACCTTCGAGAGTTCTTGAGTGACCGAGCTAGAAATCATTTCAAAGATAGGGACGCAAACAGGAAAAACGAACAGGAAGAACTGCAGCACATGATTCATATGATCGCTGGTGAGGTCGATATTTCTCAAGGCCCGATATTCAAACGCACCAAAGTGACGATCACAAGGGAGAGTACTCGGGATTACTTACTAGAGGACACCTTATCTTTCAACTCTGAGGATGCAGAAGGAATAGAACAACCTCACAACGACGCACTGGTAATATCTATCCTTATGAATAAAATTCAAGTTAAACGTGTGTTGGTTGATCCAGGTAGCTCGGCAAATATTATCCGATCAAGAGTCGTAGAGCAACTTGGCCTCGAGGATCAATTTGTGCCTGCAGCTCGGGTGCTCAACGATTTTAACATGGCAAGTGAAACCACCAAAGGGGAAATCATGTTGCTAGTAAACGTGGCCGGAACTATCTAGGAAATAAAGTTCCATGTAATCGAAGGTGATATGGGGTACAACGGCTGCTCGGGAGACCTTGGATCTATAATATGTGGGCGGTACCTTGAACGTTTCATCAAGTCTTGAAATTTCCAACACCGGAAGGAATAAAAATGGTGTACAGTGAATAACCAGCGGCTAATGAGATGTTTGCAATTAATGAGGTAATACAAGTATCGACACTAACATCACCAAACGGATCAGAATCAAAAGAAAAGCAGGAAGTCAAATAGTAACCACAGTCGCTAGCTTCGACCAGATCGGAACAGCAGGAAACCTTCGAGGATGATGATTATGTGATACCTCGAACCTTCGTAATTCCCGATGATTCCGATGCCACGAAGTCAACGGTCGAAGAGCTGGAACAAGTCATACTGATCGAGCATCTGCCTGATCGAAAGGTATACCTAGGCATGGGGTTAACTCTTGAGCTCAGGAAAAAACTCGTTAAATTCCTTATTAAAAATATAGATTGTTTTGCTTGGTCCCACCTTGACATAACAGGGATCACACCGGAGTACCACTCATCGATTTAGTTGGACCTAAAGTTCAGACCGGTAAAGCAAAAGAGAAGGCCATAGTCCGAGGTAAAACATAAATTCATCAAGGACGAGGTAACCAAACTTCTCAAAATAAGATCCATCCAGGAAATAAAATATTCCGAATGGTTAGAAAATGCAGTCATAGTCCCCAAGAAGGGGAATAAACTTAGAATGTGCGTAGACTACAAGGACTTAAATAAATCATGCCCTAAGGACTCTTTTCCTCTGTCGAATATCGATCGCATGATCAATGCCATGGACGGCCACGAGATCCTGAGTTTTCTCAATGCCTACTCCGGGTACAACCAAATACAAATGAACCCAGAGGATCAGGAAAAAACTTCATTTAATATTAAGTATGGTACTTATTGCTATAATGTAATGCCATTTGAGCTAAAAAATGCTGGTGCTACTTATCAACGCCTATTAAACCGAATGTTTGAAGAACAAATAGGTAAATCAATGGAGGTTTATATTGGTAACATACTAGTTGAGTCCCTTCACGTAGAGGAACATTTTAAACATTTGCAGGAAACCTTCAACATATTGAGAAAGTACAACATGAAGCTTAACCCCGAGAAATGTGCATTCGAAGTCGGTTCAGGCAAGTTTCTCGGCTTTATGGTGTCAAATCTGGGAATCGAGATCAACCCCGATAAAATCAAGGCAATCGAAGACATCACAGTTGTGGACAACGTCAAGGCCGTACAAAGATTAACAGGGCGGATAGCCGCTTTAGGCTGATTCATCTCAAGGTCTTCGGATCGAAGTCACAGGTTCTTCTCACTGCTCAAAAAGAAGAACAATTTCACTTGTACTCCGGAATGCCAACAGGCATTGGAAGAACTAAAGCAGTATCTTTCGAGCCCGCCATTGCTTCATACTCCAAAAGCGGATGAGCAGCTCTACTTATATTTGACAGTCTCGAAAGTTGTAGTAAGTGGTGTCCTAGTTTAAGAAGATCAAGGTATACAATTTCTTGTTTATTATGTTAACCGAACTTTAGGTAAAGCTGAGACCCGGTACCCACACTTAAAAAAATTAGCACTTGCTCTAATAAGTGCCTTTAGGAAATTAAAACCGTATTTTCAGTGTCACACAATCTGTGTCATAACCACTTACCCCCTTCGTAACATTTTGCACAAGCCCGAACTCTCAGGCCGACTGGCCAAATGGGTCGTCGAAATAAGTGGGTAGGATATCGAATATCAACCTCGAATGGCCATCAAATCTTAAATCTTAGCAGACTTCGTGGCCGACTTCACGCCAGCCCTCATACCCAAGGTCGAAAAGGAACTTTTGATAAAAGCAGGTACGTCTTCGGGGGTGTGGACCCTTTTCACAAATGGTGCTTCAAATGTGAAGGGGTTCGGTCTAGGCATCAGTTTGAAGCCGCCCACAAGAAGTACAATTAGACAATCTATCAAAACCCCTAAGTTTACTAACAATGAGACCGAGTATGAGGCCATGATTGCAGGTCTCGAGCTGGCTTAAAGCCTAGGAGCAAAGGTCATCGAGGCCAAGTGTGATTCCCTACTTGTGGTTAATCAAGCCAACAAGACCTTCGAGGTTCGAGAGGATCGAATGCAGAGGTACTTGGACAAATTGCATGTAACCCTACACCGGTTCAAAGAATCGACCCTACAACATGTACC